CCCACCGGCAGCATCTACCTCCACTGCGACCCCACCGCCAGCCACTATCTCAATTGTTGCTGGATGCAGTGTTGCGCTCGACTTTCGCAACGAGATCGTATGGCTGAGACTGACGCACAACAGCGATACAACGCTTGCGCAAGTTCATGACACGTATATCTGTTTCTATACGAAGAGCGCGACGTTGAATGGCATCAGTGTCTTAAGCCCTATAACCGGGGCATGTCCAAGAATACTACCGTTACCGCAAATGCGATGGGCGACCAAGTTATGTCGGCAATGTATCCGGCGTCGGGACGGGTACCTAGCACGGTACTTTCGGAGAACGCGGACCCATTGCTCCTGGGCCTCCGGGCCGACTATTGGTATGTACGATGACTTGTTAGGACGTTGTCAAACGAGAAGCTTGATCGCCCGAATGGGCGATCATCAGATCAAGTGAAGCTGGCGGTTACGTAGCATGACACACCCCGGACGATGCCCCAACGGTCCGATTGGGCTGATATCCCTCGGAAGGGCAGATTGGAACGGAGTCAGCCGATGTCGCTCTGCACACGACAGAGCGCCTCGGCTACCCCACCCAGAAAGCCCGAGGCCCTGCTGGAGCGCATCATCAACGCCAGCAGCAACGAGGGCGACGTCGTCCTCGACCCCTTCTGCGGCTGCGGCACCGCCACCGTCGCCGCCGAGCGCCTCAACCGCCGCTGGATTGGCATCGACGTCACCCACCTCGCCATCACCCTGGTACGTCACCGCCTCCACGACAGCTTCGGCGACGGTCTGCGCCCCTACGAGATCATCGGCCAGCCCACCGACACCGGCAGCGCCGCCGCCCTCGCCGAGCAGGACCGCTATCAGTTCGAGTGGTGGGCCCTGGGCCTCGTCGACGCCCGTCCCCGCCAACGACCGCCGCCGTGGCGCCGACGCCGGCGTCGATGGCTACATCAACTTCTTCGACGACAACTCCGGCAAGCCCAAGCGCATCATCGTCCAGGTCAAGAGCGGCCACGTCAACCGCGGCATGATCGCCACCCTCAAGGGCGACATGGACCGCGAGAAGGCCGAGGTCGGCGTCTTCATCACCCTCCAGCCGCCCACCGAGCCCATGCGCCAGGAAGCCCTCTCCGCCGGCGCCTACACTCCCGAGCACTTTCCCCGATCAGCAGTACCCCCGCCTGCAGATCCTGACCATCGACGAGCTCCTCGCCGGCAACAACGTCGCCTACCCGCGCGGCGGAGTCCCGGCGACCTTCCGCCAGGCCCCCCGCCGTCGCCGCAGCCAGGGCCAGCAGAACACCCTCGTCTGACCACCCCCCGCCCGTAACCAAACCCCATCGCCAGCAACCCAAATGTCATTGCGAGCGATCCTCCTGTCATTGCGAGCGCCCTTTCCTTGTCATTGCGAGCGCAGCGCGGCAATCTCGTCGCCAGCGCCAACCAACCACGCCCCAACGCCCACGCGCACCCCGAGCCATCCAATTGTCATCGCGAGCGCAGCGCGGCAATCCCGTAGCCGCAGCAATGGCGCCGCGGGTACGCGCGTGAACGCCACACCCCTCACGCACACCCGCTTTGTCAGCCTGCATCCCACCCCCGCTGCCATCGCCACCAACCAAACTGTCATTGCGAGCGATCCTCCTGTCATTGCGAGCGCAGCGCGGCAATCCCGTCGCCGCCGCAAGGCCAGCCCGCCAACGCGCGAGCGACACGCCCCCTCACGCGTACCCACTTCGTCATCGCGAGGAGCGCAGCGACGTGGCGATCTCGTTGGATTGAGCGATGATCCCTCCAGCGGCGAGATTGCCACGCTGCGCTCGCAATGACGGATTGTGCAAAGTGGGTACGCGTGAGCGACACACCCCCTCTTGACAGCAACGAACATACGTTCCTATACTGTCTTCATCACGTGAAAAATCAGCAACCGCCAGAGGTCTAAGGGTCGTTCGCGGCCAACCCGTCAGAACCAAATCGCAAACCCTGTCCCGACGACCATCGCCCGCCCGTTTCTCAGCGGCGTGGTCATCTCGGCGACACAGCGATAATCCACTCGCTGCGTGCTGCACGACCCCCGGGTCGTCCACGGATTCAGTGGTTAAAAATCCTTGCGTAACCCCCGGCCGCGGGGCTGACACCGACCCTGAACCCTCTGGCAAAGCTGAACCATCCAACAACCGAACCAACCAGTAGCGAGGGTCAGCAACCACCGGCCACCAACTCAACAACCCGCAAACAACCCCCATAGGAGCCGGCGCCCTTGAACGCAGCCCACCACCTGGACCGCAGTCAACTCTACCTCGGCTACGTCACCGGTGACGTCCGGGCCGGCGACTACCACCGGGCCGCCCGCGCCATTCACCGCGCGGCCAGCCATGTCGCCACCGCCGCCGCCGTCCACACGCACCAGGATAGCTACAGCTGGCGCCGTATGACCACGGTGCTGGGCGGCTTCGTGCGCGGCAGCCAGATCGACTATCGACACCTGCGCACCTTCCGGGAGGTTTACCGCCTGCCCGCGATGCTTGCCGCGGCCGAGGCCAACGGCGATGACACCGCCATCCGCGCCCTGTTGCGCCGCGCCCGTCGTCGCGTTGAGCGTCTGCGTCAGGCCGTGGCGCTGGCCATCGCCCAGGACCCCAACCCGCTCAGCCTCGCGGACTTCCGAGCCCTCCGGGCAGCCGGCAAGCTCCCCTCCCGGCGCGAGCCTCAGCCCCCTCCCATGACCACCATGGGCCAATACCGTCGCGCCCTCGGCCTCCACGTCCCCAGCGGAACCGAGGACCACCCCATCCGCTGCCCCTGCTGCCCCATCCGCTGACCCCATCCACCCCGGTCATCGCCAGCTATCCCCTGCCGTCGCCAGCAACCCCCTGTCATCGCCAGCGACCCCCTGTCATTGCGAGCGCAGCGCGGCAATCCCGTCGCCGCAACCCACCCCGAGCCGGCACAACCGACCCGCCTTGCCATTTGACACCACCCTCCCCGGTCATTGCCACCAACAAAACTGTCATTGCGAGCGCAGCGCGGCAATCCCGTCGCCGCAACCCACCCTGAGCCGGCACAACCGCCCCGCCTTGCCATGCGAGCTCCCTGATGGTCATTGCCACCAACCAAACTGTCATTGCGAGCGCAGCGTGGCAATCTCGTTGCCATAATGCGGGTCCTTGCCGAAGGCGTTTAGCGTTGGTCCGACACTCGTCCGTCTGTGATGTTGCGTCCCAGCCTTTTTTGGCGGGCCTCACCGAGCCGTGCTGAGCTTGGTGCCAGAGTTCAAATCGCGGCCGGCGCGCACGGTGTTGCCGGTCTCCGCCTTCGGCCCCTGGCTTCATGACCACCGCGCTGCAACACCTTCCCTTGACCGGGCTCGCTACGGTCACTATCCTGCGGCGGGTAAAGTTCGGCGCCACGCCCCCTGTCTGTTTCTGGTGGCGACCCGTGGTGGCAACAATTGCCGCCTGGCGCCGCGCCCGACAAGCGGACCGGTTGGGAACGGTTCGAATGTGGTCTCGTAACCACTAAACCAATCGCCCAAAGGCCCGGTCATTTCTCGTTCACGTCGTTTACCCCGGCTGCACACCGTCGACGCGTTGCTCGCGTACCGGGACTTCCGGCTCCTATGGTGCGCGAACTTCTGCGCCAACTCCGCCACGTGGCTGCAGTTGCTCAGCGTGGGCTGGCTGGTCAAAGACCTGTCGGAGGGTTCGCACATCGGCGGACTGCTGGTCGTCTCGGTGGGCGCGATCAACACCCTGCCCGGCCTGATCGTAAGTCCCCTCACCGGCGTGCTGGGTGACCGCCTGGACCGGCGCAAACTGTCCATGGCGGTGCAGGCTTGCGGCGCGGCGCTGGCCATTTCGTTCGCATTCCTGGCGGACAGCGAATTGATCCGTCCCTGGCATGCCTACGCCTACGTGCTGATCTCCGGAGCCTTTCTGGCCGTCACCCAACCGTTGCAGCAGGTCATGGTAGCCAACTGTGTGCCACGGGAGGCGGTGGGCAACGCCTATGCCATCAACGTACTGACCATCACCGGAACACGCATTTTCGGTCCGTTCATCGGCGGGTTGCTCATCTTCTGGCTGGGGTATTTCTGGAACTTTGCGCTGGAGGGAGCGCTGTATATCGCGGTGGTGCTGTTCCTGCTCACGCTGAGGTTGCGCTACAGCGGCGCCGCGGCGAATTCAACCACCCGGGGTTTCTCGCCGCTGGCTGACTTCCGCGAGGGGATTCTGCACCTGTGGCGCCGGCAGCGCGAAATGCTGCAGATCATGGCGCTGTCGGTGATCCCCAACACCATTTTGCACCCCGTCTGGTTCCTGTTGCCGCTGTTCACCGCCCAGGTGCTGCACGCCGATGTCAACATGGGCGGCTACCTGCTGGCGGTCACCGGAGTGGGCGGACTGCTCTCCACCCTGATTATCGCGTCCTTCGGGCTGCCCAACCGGAAGGGTTACATCCTGCTCATCACGGCGGCGTGCAGTTCCATCTGCACCATGGCTTTTTCGCACTCTTCATGGCTGCCGGCAGCGTTCGTGTTCCTCGCCCTGATGTCACTGTTCCAGTCTCATTACCGCACGACCCAGGGCACCGTGGTGCTGACGGTCGTACCGGACCAGTTTCGCGCCCGGACAATGAGCGTGCTGGCGTACGAGCGGGGGTTTTTGACGGGCGCCAGCATCCTGGTCGGAATGCTCGCCGATGCCACCTCCGCTTCGATGGCCATCCTGGTGCTGGGCGCCGTCGGCCTGTTTCTTGCCATGATTGGTGCCGTCGTTCTGGGCCGGGTCCGCACGCTGTAGCAACCCAACGCGGCGCACCACGACACCGCGCTTCCTGAAGGCTTCGCACCGGCGCGATGCGCCGAGACCGTCACGCTGGGCATCCGACTGTGGCTGTTTCGGCAACCACCGGATCTGTGCCGAACGTCTCCGGTTCCCATCGGGTCTCCCCTGACGATGTCATATAATGAATATAGCGGAAGATATTCGCAGGAGGTGCAAACCATGGACGTACTGAATACGATGGTTGGCCGCGGTCACGAGCAGGTGACGATGTACAGCGACCCGGAGTCCGGCCTGAAGGGCATCATCGCGATCCACGACACCACCCTGGGCCCGTCATGCGGCGGGACGCGCATGTGGCCCTACGCCACCGAACAGGAAGCGCTCACCGACGCCCTCAACCTCTCCCGCGCCATGACCTACAAGTCGGCGGCGGCCGGCCTGCATCTGGGCGGCGGCAAGGGCGTCATTATCGGCGATCCTCGCACCGACAAGACCGAAGCCCTGCTGCGCGCCTGGGGCCGGTTCGTGGATACGCTGGGCGGCCGCTACCTCACCACCACCGACGTTGGCACTACGGGACGGGACCTGGAAGCAGTCCGGCAGGAAACGCAGCACGTGCTGGGCCTCGACGTGACCCTGGGCGGCAGCGGCGACACGTCCGTGATGACCGGCCTGGGGATCTACATGGGCATGAAGGCCTGCGCGTCCGACGTCTGGGGCGCTGACGACCTGCGGGGGCGCACCGTCGCGATGCAGGGGTTCGGCAAGGTGGCGACGCACACGGCTGAACACCTGATTGAGGAGGATGTGCGGATCATCGCCACGGACATCAACGAAATGGCGCTGGACCGGGCCCGCCAAATGGGCGTCAAGGTCGTTGGGCCGGACGAGATCTACGACATTGACTGCGACATCTTTGCGCCCTGCGCGCTGGGTGGCGTTATCAACACGCAGACCATTGATCGCCTGCGCTGTAGCATCGTAGCCGGCGGCGCGAACAACCAGCTGGCCACGGCCGAAGACGGCGAGGAGTTGCACCGGCGCGGCATCGTCTACGCACCCGACTTTCTGATCAACGCCGGCGGCGTCATCAACGCCTCCGCCGAGATCGGCCAACCGTACAACCCGGACCGCTCACGCCAGCAAACGGAACGGATCTACGAGCAGATGTCGGCGGTGCTGACCACGTCCCGCAAGCAGGAGATTTCGACCGCGCGGGCGGCGGATATCCTGGCGGAGTCGCGGCTGGACTCGGTTCGCCGCATGCGTCGGATCTGGCGCGGCTAACCCGCGTCGACGTCCTGTAATCTGCGGAGCCCCACGGAGATTAGAACCGTGGGGCTCCGCAGTTAGTTCAGCGTCCCGCAAGCGTCGTTGCGGCCGGTCATTCCGCCTTCAGGTCTTGGAGCAAATCCCTGATCGTATTCACGTCGGCCGGCGCGCCCGGGATGGTGTGGGCGATGCCACCGGCTTTGTCGATGAAGATGTAGAAAGGCACGCCGGACACGCCGTACGCGGTCGCGAGTTGGCCCGCGGCGTCATAGGCGATGGGAAAGCTCAGGCTCTCCTTGTCGATCAGGGCACGGACCTCGGGCTCAGGGGCGCTGAACGCGACGCCCACTATGTCAACGCCCACACCGCCGAGCTCTTCGTGAAAGTCCTGGACAGCCGGCAACTGCCGCTGGCAATGTGGTCACCAGGGCGCCCAGAACATCAACAACGTCGGCGTGCCCAAGGTGTCCGCGAGCCGGTACTCGTTGCCGTCCAGCAGGGCCCCCGTGAACATTGGGGCCGGAAGGCGCGGACCCGCCCCTCCGAGCGCTGGTGTCGGGATTTCCACCGGCGATGCGGCGCCGGCAGTATTTGCCGGCTGCTTATCTTCCAAGGAACCCAGCGCGGCCTGGACGGTCGCCTCGATATCGGCGGAATTGGGTTGGCCGTCACTGCCAGCGGGGTCTCCAGGCTGGAGTTGGCAACCGACCAGGCCCAGGCAGAGCGCCGCCACGATGGCGAACGCCGCGATGGTTGCTCTGCGTCGGGACATAATCGCAGCTCAGCCGGTCGCCGGATAGACGACGGTATCGGGGCGGTACACCGCCCATGAGAACCAGAGTTGGCCGATGCGACCGGGCACCGGTTCCAGTTGAGTGCCCGTCAGCGGTCCGGCGATGGCACGCCCGAATATGTTCCACTGGCTGGCGGTCTGGGCGTCCACGATGCGGCCGTCGGGGTCGGGCGCGAAGGTCAGCAAGTTGCCGTCGGGACCTCGCGGTGAAAATATCCCGGCGGTGCCAACGTCCCTTCCCCGAGCTATCGTGCCCGAGTCCAGGGCGGAGGCGGTGCCCGGCGACCAGAAGACCACGATATCCTCGCCGGCTACCGTCGTGGTGACCACGCGTTGCTGGGCCAGGGTGGTGAAGGATACCGCCCAGGCGTCGTTGCCGCGCTCGACTGCCACCACCCGCTCCACGGCCGGCAGCCTGGGGTCTTCATCGCCCCGGAACAGGAACGGTTGGCTGCCGGGACGGTCGTAGCCGGCGTATGGGTTCGTGCCGTAGGACCGTCCGGATTCCGGGCGCGACAGCACCTGACCGTCGGGATGGGCGGCCTTGAAATCGGCCCACGACACGATGGAAAGGTAGAGCTGCTCCAGCTTCGTGCCGGCATACTGGCCAATGACGCCCTCGCCGCCCACTTCTTGCCACCAGGACTCGGTCTGTCGGTCGTACATCAGGAGGTTGCTGTTCCGAAGCGCGCCGGTGGTGCCGAAATCAAGGACCGTGCCCTCTACCGTCCGCCTGAACACGAAGGCGGTGTTGCAAAGCGGTCAAAAGGTGATTACGACCGGCTCCCCGCCAACGGTGTCGTTGACCAACTCGTGCCAGACCATGACCTGCACCGGATACGCGCGGGCGTCGCCGTCAATGTCCACCACCTGCACGGGTTCAAGGTCATCCAGCCATACGTCGGCTTCGGCGATTGACTCAAACTGCGGGTCGTCGATTGCCGGAATGCCATCCTTGGGCGGCCCGCCGGTCATGATCTCTTCGAAGGAGATCGTAGTACGCGTAAAATCCGTGTCCCAAGTGGAGCGGAGCAGGCGCTGATAGCGGGTTAGTGCCGCTTCGGCTTCAGCGTCGGGGACGGTCTGCACGGTGCCTTCGGGCGATACCGGGAGCGGAGCGGCGGTGGGTAGCGCGGTGGCTACCGACGCCAATGCCGCAGTTGGTAGCGGTGTCACAGCCTCGCCCACGGCCGCGGTGGGAAGGCCAGCGGCGGGCGCCAGCGTCGGAGCTATCCCGTCCGTGGGAGCAATCGGAACCGTCCACGGCTCGCTGCCGGAGGGTTCACTCAGTTGGGCCGCAGGCCAGCAGAACCGATACCGCCAGAAGAATGCCGGCCAGCACCAGGGGCGGGCCGGCTACCGTGTGTCTCAGCCGGAAACGAAAGGGCGACGGCAAGATCAGCGTCCGCGCAGGCGAGGATCCAAAACGTCACGCAAGGCGTCACCCAGGATGTTGAAGCCCATGACAACCACGAAAATTGCCACGCCCGGGAAGATTCCCACCCATGGCGCGGTCTTGACGTGTTCCTGCGCCGCGCGGGTCAGCATACCGCCCCAGCTGGGCTGGTCGGGGGGCGCGCCGACGCCCAGGAAGGACAGGGACGCTTCGATGATGATGGCGAAGCCCAGGTAGTAGGTGGCCAACACCAGGTAAATCGCGAAGCAATTGGGGACGATGTGCCGGAACACGATGCGCCAGGGGGGCGCACCGATTGCCTGTGCCGCCGTCACGTAGTCCAGCTCTTTTAGCGAGAGCACCTGGGACCTCACGGTGCGTATCACCGGAGCAATCATCCCGACGACAATGGCGAGGATGACATTGTTCAGCGACGATCCCAGCACGGCCACGATTGCCAGGGCGATGATAAGACCAGGCAGCGCCATTAGGGCGTCAACGAGTCGCTGGGCCGTCATGTCGGTGATCCCACCGGCGTAGGCCAGGGCGACGCCGATGATGAAGCTCGCGGTGATGCCGATCAATACGCTGCCGAGCCCGACGTACAAGCTGTTGCGCGCTCCGTAGATGAGGCGGCTGAGCACGTCACGGCCCACATGGTCGGTTCCCAGGAGAAACTGGGAATTTGGCGGGAGGTAAACGGTGGAACCGCCCTCGTGGCTGTCGGGCAACGACCGCGGGCCGTAAGGTGCGAGCACCGGAGCCAGTACCGCGACGATCACCAACAGGAGAACCAACAAACCGCCGATAGCTCCCACTGGCTTGCGACGGGTAAATCGGACAATCTCCCTGGAGGCCGAGGTCAACGGCCGCAACGGACCGGCTTCCCGCGCGGCAGCCGCTTCAGCGCGTTGGTTGAGTTGGTTCGCCATTGGATTGAACCCTCCTACCGGACCACAAGAGTGCCAGCCATATTGATTACAGCCCGGAGCCTACGAATACCGGATGCGAGGGTCGAGCACACCGTACAGGACGTCAATCACCAAGTTCAGGAGCAGCACCACGGCCGCGGCCAATAGCACCACGCCCTGGACCACGACGAAATCACGGTGGATGATTGCGTCAATGAGGTAACGTCCAACGCCGGGTATCACGAATATGGATTCGATGATGATCGTCCCTCCCAGCAGACGACCGAACTGGTAACCGGATACGGTTATCACCGGGAGGAGGGCGTTTTTCAAAGCGTGGCGTCCAACCACGGTCCATTCGCGCAGGCCCTTGGAGCGCGCGGTCCGCATGTAGTCTTCCCGCAGGACTTCCAGCATAGCCGAACGGGCGACCCGCGCCGTGAAAGCCATGTCGTGGAAAGCCAGTACCAAGGCCGGGAAGATTAACTGTTGCAGATTGGTGAAGGGATCGCCCCATAAGGTGGCGTATCCCAACGGCGGTAACCATCCCACAGAATAGGTCAGACCATAGATCACCAATATGCCCAACCAGAAAGTGGGCAGTGCGATCCCCACGAGCGCCAGCAAGCGGCTCACGTGGTCGAGGGGCGTGTCCTGCTTGACCGCCGAGAGCACACCCAACGGCACCGCAGCGATGAATGCCAGCACAATGGCCAGCGCTGCCAGTTCAAGGGTTATGAAAAACCGTTCTTTCAGATCATCCAGGACCGGGGTTCCATACCATACGGAATCGCCAAAGTCGCCCTGGGCAATTTTCCAAAGCCAGTCGGCGTACTGGATGTATACCGGGCGATCCAGGCCCAGTTCTTTCTGAACCCGCTCGATGTCTGCCTGAGTTACCTTGCCACCGTCACCCTCCTCACCCGTCAGGATCATCATGGCGACATCCCCCGGAACGATCCAGAAGAGGCCAAACACCAGGATGGTGGCGAGCAGGATAGTGGGTATGAAAAGGAGACCCCTTCGGGCCAAATATGCGTACACCTTCTACCCTCTATTGGTGAGGCAAACGATCAGATACAAATTGTGAACGATGCGTCCCATCGGACTGGGACGCATCGTTCAATGGAGGCTACGGTTGGTAGCCGGACTCGGCTGGCTGTTCCCGGTCGGGATCGTACCAGACATGGTCCCACTTGTGGATCTGTTGCAGCGTCGGCGGCGTGTGGAAATTGCGTATGCGGTAGTCCAGCGCGCCTCCGTTCGAGCCCCAGAAGTACACGACCAGATGGCTCTTTCCGGTATGCAGGATGTCGGCGATTTCTTCCAAGTGACCTTGCCGGTCTCGTTGGTCGATTGCCCGATTTTGCAGATCAATCAGCTCGTCGATGCGATCGTCCTGCCAGTTTTGCGGATTGCGGAGCACGTCCTGCAGGTAGAACTGGTTGAGAATGTCCGCCGGGTCGCGCAGGATGATGCCCGTTCCGACCGTGGATATCTCGTGAGCGCCGTCTCGCATGACCGCGTAGGTGGTGGCCAGGTCGTTGGGTACGATTTCGATGTCAATGCCCACGTCACGACGCAACTGCTCGCCGGCCACTTCAGCTGCCGGCAGCGTGGGGATCGCGTTGCGGGTGTTCATCTTCACGGAGATCCCATCCGGATAGCCGGCTTCCGCGAGCAACTGTTTGGCTTCGGCAATTGCGGCGGAGCGATCTTCAGCGAATGCGGGGTTGCTGGCTTTGAGCTCGTCGAGGTTTTCCACAACCCCAGGCGCGAAGTACGTGCCCGGCGTGCCGAAGCCCTTGATGGCGCGCTCGATGCCCAGGTCTCGGTCCAGGCCGAGGTAGAAAGCCCGCCTGACTCGCTCGTCATCAAATGGCGGTTTGGCGTTGTTGAGGAAGTAGGCCTCGAACCCAGAGTCCGGGAGGATCAGGGCGCGCACCTGGCCGTCGGTCTCCTCTTCGAGGATCGCCATATCTTCGGGCCGGTTGACGCCGGTGAATGGGTTGAATGTTCCCAAGACCTGCCCGGCTTGCAGCGCAGCAATCCGACGCGCGGTGTCAGGGATCAGATGGACGATGATTCCGTCGAAGAACGGCCGGCCTTCTTTGAAATACGTGGGGTTCCGGTCGAAGGTGTAGCTAACGTCTTTCTGCCAGCCGCCGTAGAGCCAGGGACCCGAGCCAATCAGCGACTCAGGCTGATTCGCCTGCTCCTGTGTCAAGTTCTCGGCGACGTGCTTCGGGTACATTTTCATGTAGTCGGACGCCAGGTTGGGCATGAAGGTCGGGGCCGGGAACTTCAGCGGCACCTTGACCGTGGTTGCGTCGATCGCTTCCGCGGTTTGATGTTCGTAAAAGGCGCGGAGAAATCCCGTGCGAGCCCGTTGGGCCCCGGGGAGAGTGATGCGATCCAGACTGAATACGATGTCATCCGCCGTTACGGGCATTCCATCGGACCAAGTCGCATCTTTCAGATAAAAGGTGAACTCGGTGCCGTCGTCGTTGACCTCCCAAGTAGAGGCCAAATCGCCAATAATCTCGGTCGGGCTGATCGGATTATATTCGACCAACTGATTGAACCGTGGGCTGGAAGGCATCAGGGTGGTGTTCAGCGACCCGCCGTAATGCACATCCCAGAAACCTGGGTTGCTGTTTCCGACCATGGGGAACGTACCGCGATAATGCTTGCCTTCACCTTCCTGCCACCAGTCGGGCCGTTCGTCCACCGCCGAGACGGTTGGTACCGGTATAGCCGTCGGGGTAGCGTCCAGGACCCTGGTTGGGATGGGGGTGAACGTCGGGGTCGGCGCTGGGTCGTCGGACCGTTCGGCAGCAGACGGTTGCGTGCCGGTTTGTTGAGAGCCGCTATCCGACGGGGCGGTCCCGCCACACGCGACAACCGTGGCCGCCAACGCCACCATCGCTAAGAAGGGCAAGTTCTGGTACTTCCAGATTCGTCGCCAAATCATGTAGATTTCCTCCCACGCCGCAGTTGATCTTGCGGGCGGTATCAAGAATAAGGCCGCCGCCGGGCGGACGCCGTCCAACGTAGGCCAAGGCTTGCGATATTAATCACAAGCCCTCAAAAAGTCAATCCGAACCGGAATGTCAAGGAGTTGCCGCAGGCTTGGAAACCGTGCGAACGAGCGTAACCGGGACCTGTTTGACGGTGGGTGAGAACCCCGCTTTCCGCACCAAAAATATCGAACCGCCAGCCTGCAAACGAGATCACGTTCTTAACGAAATTGCCCCTCACCGCGACGGTGAGGGGCAATGAGATGCGACCGATGCGTACGGTGATCGCAGACTAACGGCCGCGGAGCCTCGGGTCGAGGATGTCGCGTAGGGCGTCGCCGAGGACGTTGAAGGCCAGCACGGCGATGAAGATGAAGATGCCGGGGAACACCAGAAGCCAGATGCCTGTCTCCGGAGACTCCCTGCTGGCCACGGTCAGGATGCCGCCCCAGCTGGGATCATCCGGCGGAGCGCCCACTCCGAGGAAGCTCAGCGACGCCTCGATGATTATGGCGAATCCCAGGTAGTAGGTCGCCATGATGATGTAAATGGCGAGGCAGTTGGGCATGATGTGTTTGAACACGATTCGCCCCGGGCGGGCGCCGATGGCTCTTGCAGCGGTCACATAATCCATTTCCTTGAGCGTCAACACCTGGGAGCGCACGGTGCGGACCACTGGCGCTATCATCCCGATCACTATGGCCAGGATGACGTTGTTCAGTGAGGATCCCAGGATGGCCATGATGGCCAACGCTAGGATCAGGCCGGGCATCGACATCAGAGCGTCGACCACGCGCTGGAAGAACAGATCGACCATGCCGCCGGCGTAGGTGCTGACGATGCCCAGGACAAAACCGGCCGTTATGCCGATCAGCACGCTCCCGATCCCCACGTAGAGCGAAATCCAGGCCCCGTAAAGGACACGACTCAGCACATCGCGTCCGATGACGTCGGTTCCCATGAGGAATTCGCGGCTGGGGCCGAGGAATATGTCGCCGACGGAAGCGTACGGGTCCGCGACGGGCAGGATAGCCAACCGGGAGCCGACGGCCACGAGTATCATGATGAGTGCGATCACAGCGCCTGCCGCGCCCAGCGGTTTGCGGCGGGCATGCGCCACCGTCGACCGGTACATGGCGGGAATACCCAAAAGGGCATTGCGAACTTGAACGCCGCTTTCTGCGGCTAGGTCGCGTGTTGCCATAATCTGCTCCGTTGATGGTCAGTGCGCTATTGATAGCGGATCCGCGGGTCGAGCACTCCGTAAACGATGTCGATGACCAGGTTCAGGAACATGACCACCGCCGCCACCAGCACCACCACCGCCTGGATCACCACGAAATCACGATGGATGATGGCGTCGATCAGCATTGATCCGATGCCGGGGACGAGGAAGATGACTTCGACGATCACCACACCGCCGAGCAACCGGCCGAACTGATATCCCGAAACCGTGATGATGGGCAGCAGGGCGTTCTTCAGCGCGTGCCTCCCGATGACGCTCACTTCGGTCAGGCCCTTGGACCGGGCGGTGCGCACGTAGTCGTCCCGCATCGTTTCAAGCATGGAGGAGCGGGTGACCCGTGCGGTGAACGCCAGGTCGTGGAAGGCGATGGCCAGGGACGGGAATATCATCTGCTGCAGGTTCGTTAACGGCTGCTCCCACAAATCGGCGTAGTCCAGTGGAGGCAGCCAGTCAAAGACGTATGCCAGAATATAGGTGACGACGATGGCGATGAGGAAGGTGGGCATGGCGATGCCCAGCAAGGCGAAAAGCCGGCTGATGTAATCGAGCTTGGTGTCCTGTTTCACGGCGGATATGATGCCCAGGGGAACCGCAACCACGAAGGCCATCAAGATGCCCATCACCGCCAGTTGCATGGTGGTGAGGAACCGTCCTCCCAGTTCGTCGATCACCGGTGTCTGGTACCAAAGGGACTCGCCCAGATCCCCGCGAACCATGTCCCAAATCCAGTCGGCGTACTGGATGTGGACGGGCCGGTCCAGGCCCAGCTTGGCCCGCAGCCGTTCGATGTCCTCCAGATTGACCCTGCCGCCCTCGTTGGGATCGTTTCCGGTGAGGATCAGCATGGCCGTGTCGCCAGGCACGATCCACATCAACAGGAAGATGATGATGGTCACTATGAGAATGGTGGGAATGAAGAGGAGCAGCCTCCTCACGATATAGGTGGTCATCATGCCTCCCGGTGTCGGGCCTGGCGATCAACGAAATCCGCGCTAGATGTCGAGTCAACTGTGCCTACGGTTGATAGCCTGTTCCTATTGGAGGCTTCTCCGCGTTTTCGTCCCACCACATGTGGTCCAGCTTGTGGATCATCTGGATGGTCCTCGGGACGTGGTAGTTGCGTACGCGGTAGTCCAGGGTGCCGCCGGCGTGTATCCAACCCGTGGGCATAAAGTGTGGCACCTCTGCCCGGAGAAGATCGACCATCTCCGTGAAAAGCTGTTCGCGCTTGTCGGGATCCAACTCCTTGGCCTGAGCGACCTTGAGCCTATCGAACTCGGTGGTGGTCCAGTTGCCGGAGTTGCGCATGGTGTCCATGCCGTACCACTGGTTGAGGATGTCCGAGGGGTCGGGGAGGATGATGCCGCTGCCGCAGGAAATAATCACTTCGTAGTCGTTGCTGCGCCACTTGGAGTACAGGGTCGCGACGTCGCTGGACTCGATCTCCATTTCCAGGTTGAGCTCGTTCTTCCAGACCTGGCTGACCCACTGGGCGGAGGTGGCGGTGCATCCGGTCAGGATGGTGGTGATGGTGCCGCTGAACCCGTCCGGGTATCCGGCCTCCGCGAGCAGCCTGCGGGCTTCGTCCAAGTCCGCCTGTGACTTGGTGCCGTCCGGGTTGCGTCGGTAACCGGGGAGCTCGTACAGCGCTTCGACGCTTTCGTTGGGGGCAAACCCGACGTGGAAATGGGTGCCCACGGTGCCGTTGCCGCGAAGGATCTTCTCGACTAGCTCTTCCTGGTCAATGACGAGCCACAGGGCCGTCCTGACTTGGGTCATCATAAGGCTCGACCAGCCAGTTGTAATTAAGCCCGGCGCGCTGCACGTTTTCCATGAACAGGGCGCGCATCCGGCCGTCGGTGTCATGTTCCAGCTGCTCGACGAATTCAGTGTATGTCGCCAGCACCGGGTAGTAGGTCCCGTCGGCCTGGCCGACCTTCAGCGTTGCAATGGCGCGAGCCACGTCCTGGATCAGGAAGACCTTGAACCCGTCAAAGTAGGACGCGGAGCCTTGAAGTAGTCGTCGTTTCTGACGTATTCGTAGGCCTCCTGCTTCTGCCAGCTGCCGTCCTTGAAGATGAAGGGGCCGGAGCCGATCATGTTCTCCGGGCAGCAGTTGACGTCCTCCTGGGTCAGGGGTCCAGCGACGTGCTCCGGGGACATCTTCATGTAGTCCGAGGCCAGGTTGACCATGAACGTGGCTGCCGGAAACTTGATGGGCACGCGCACCGTCCGGTCGTCGATCACCTCCGCGGTCTTGTGTTCATAGAAATCGCGCAGGCTGTTGGTGCGGCCGCGGAACGCGTCAGGGGAGGGTGATCCGGTCCAGACTGTAGACGATGTCGCTGGCCGTCACCGGCTGCCGTCCGTCCACCGAGCGTCGGCGAGGGTGGAAGTTGTACACCGTGCCGTCTTCGCTGACGTCCCAGCTTCGCCAGTCCCGATGATCTCCTCGGGGTAACCGGGTTGTATTCCACCAACTGGTTGAACCTGGGACCCGACTGGTGTCAGGTCGTGGTCAAGCTCGCTCCGTAGTGAACGTCCCAGAACCCCGGTTGTTCGGGCCACCCACTTCATTGTTCGCCGTGCTTGCTTGATGGACCAGTCGGTTTCGGGTGCCTGGACTCCAACCGGTTCGACCGTGGGCGTGGGATTCGCCGCCTCGGTGACGCCGGAAGGCGCGGCAGGATGGGCCGCGCCGCGTTGCAGCGGGTTGGGCTGGCTGACTGCCGAAGGCGCGGCCGTAGCTGCTGGTTGCGCTCTCTGCGCCGCGCCGGAGGGAGCAGCGGAGGAAATCGATTCCGGCGCGGGCAGCGGTTGCCGCGCCGGCCGCAGCGATATCAAGATGAGTGCAAGAAGGAACCGGCCAGCAACATGGTTTTGATACCCTGTGGTTCACACGACGCATAGTAGTTACCCATCCAATTCCATCTCAGACGACTCGGTTTGAACGCTGCGCTGTCTGGGTAATCTTTAGCGGATAATATCGATATATGGGCTTTGTGTGATATGGGCTTTTGTGTGATCAGCAAAACAACCCCCAATGCGGGTGGCGGGCAATCGTAAGTGCGCCATGATGGCCTATGTAAAGACGAAAGCTGTTATATCATCGAACATATTATTGTGTTTGATGATGATAATTGACTGAATGCACGCGGCGCCAATTGTCTCGACAATCGACGCAATCGAATGCTTGTGGCAACGACACACGAAAAAACGCCACGTTGGGCGTAAGAAAAACTGAACGGAGACGACATTTTGTCGTGGGACAGGGCAACCAGGGTCCCGCCGGTCAGCCGCAGTGGTACGAGAGGACAGGCCTCCGCTGCGATCGGGACGCCGTTTATCGAACTATCCAGAGGTACGTGTCCATTCGGGATTGAACCATCGGCGATCGTGAGGGCCCGTTACGCGCCGAGCTCGTCGCCCACCAACGCGACGAGCCCCGCGGTAGTGGCGTGGGCCGTGATGTCCGCGCCCAGTCGATTCCCAAAGCATGGACCGTCATCGCGAGTCCAACGCGTTGTGACGGCACACGGCGTCTGCGACGACCAGGGTGGTGCCCGACAGCGCGGTTGATGCTGGTCGTCCACGCTCAACGAGGTCAGACGTTTCCCTGTCTGCACGGGACCCGTTCACGAACCCCACACCAATCAGCGTTCGTGAGTTACAGGATTGCCGCTCCAGCGGGTATCGGTGTCCTGGTAGTCTGATGCCCAGACACGTCCGCCGCGAAGCATGCTGAAGTGAAGCAGGTCGTCGGTGGCGATGGGCCGCGCCGCCGCGCATCCAACGGGACCGACCGCGTCATAGATCATGCGCCGCCGCCCAGTTTCGGCGTCAATGACATGTCGTTGGCTCGTCGTGGCCGTGGCGATCACCTTGTCGTCATTCGATGGCGGCGCTGATGACCCAGTCCGAGGCGGTACTCCCACAGGGTTTTGCCGTTGGGCGGCATCCAAAGCGATCAGACGGTTCTTGTCGCTTTCGGCACGTACAGCCGGCCGTCCGCGATGGTGGGTGATGGTAGCGAGGCCGCTCCCAGTCGACGCGACCACACGACCTCTCCGGTGTCGGCCCCTCCAATGCCGACACCAGCCTGGCCGGATACGATACGAACACAGCCACTCCGCCGCACCGCCGGTACTCCCGCGGGTGAGCCAGGGGACGTCGTACCGCCACACGCACGCTCCGTTTGCTCTTACTCCAACGCCGTTCGACGGTTCCCGCTGTCGTCGTCAGATACAGCGATCGCCCAAATGACGCCGGCGGGGGGCGACTATGGTGCGATGGCGTCGCCGGTGACGTAAGCTCCATGCGGCTGGAGCCGTTCCAGACGGGCAGATACAAGAGGCCAGCTGGCGGAGGCTAGATTGTCACGACCGACGGCCGGCCTGGGGCCAGTCGTCCCGATCCGCGGTACTTACCCCTGATCACGATCCGGGTCGATGGATCAGACGATCCGGAGGCGCCAGCGATGTACTGCCAGCAATACCAAATAGTGAGCGCGCAGCAGAGGCAGGACAAGCCATGCGGACACGTATCACTTCGGCTATCGCTGGATGTCCAGCTGGGTATGCGCGGTGGCGAGCCGTTTGTTGTGGCTCTCTAGTTCGGCTGACCGTCTCCGCAGGCCGGAACAGGCGCCCGCAGCCGGCGCATCGGGCGCTGGCGATTTGTTCTCGTCGCGCGCCTCCGTTCCCGGTGAGTGGCCGCAGAAGCGGGCAGAGGAGAGACACTTGTCCTGTGTGTCGTTTGCCATGTGTGGCCAGCGACCACCCTCACGGTTGGCTGGGTCAGCGGAGCGTATACAGCTTCGAGCGTAGGGCCAGCCTCAGACGCCTAGTATTGACATAACGACGCATGTACGATGGGACGCTGTGCGCTGGCGGTGGCCATTCCCTTCGCAAGATGTACGTCGTCGCACATGTCGTCACAGTCACTCTTGCTGCCACTAAACTTTCCTCGAGCGCACTTCGAAGCCTCGTTGTAATACTAGAATGCTGTCGGGCGTTGCGAACCGCCCGGCCTTATCATCGTCTTCTCACGCCTCTGGCCTTCTGTCGTTCTTTCCTCACATCTTACCCATTTTTCTCACCATCACTTTTCTCGAAGGAATCACCGTGGCTCGGCCAGCCGAACACTTCCCAGCCCTCCCACGACTGTGAATCCCGCAGATTCAGGTCGTCCATGAGGCCTTGGGACAGTGGGGGTCGATTATGGCGAAGTTCGGCCTTCGCTGCCGGGGGCGATGAACGCCCTTTTGCGTGTAACATTTCCACAGGCGGTTGCGGCGTTTGGTTGCCGTGTGATTGGTGGCTAACTTGTTCCCGCTAGTTGGCCTCCCAGCTTCTCATCACTGATCTTCTTTTTTTTTACTTCCCATTTCTGATCTCTCTTCCCTCTTTTGTGCCGGCGCCGTCTCCTTTTCCTTCCGTCTTTCCTCGAAATTGGGGAGGCGTGTCTCCCTCTCGTCTTGTCCAGGTGGTGGTGAAGCTGGCCTGGTCGGGGGCGGTAAAGGTCAGGTCGTTGCCCTAAGCCGGCCGTTCCACAGGTTGCTGCCATCCTTCCGGATACTTGAAGGGAAGGGTTAGTTGTGGTACTTCATGCCGTCGGTTCGCGTTAACTGGTAAGCATTGAAGGACTCGCGGCGAGGTGAGAACCTCACCGTAGACGGCAGGCCGCGGCTCCGGGCTGGCGGCCCACGGCGGTGACGCCGTCCTTCCGGGTACCTGGACGAAAGTACATGCCTTGGCGCCGTTCTGTTTCCGCTATCCTGTATCACGTCGCGGAAGCGACGTCTTCCACCTTCCTTGGAGTGGATGAGATGGGCGTTTGTAGGCAGTCCCGTCCCACATGCCCCGCTGCCTGCGCCATCAGGTAGTTTGTTACATGACGAAAAAAAAAATCCCCCTCATCGTCCGTCCGCGTGAAACGGCGAGGACGCCACGTGTCGGGCCAGTTTGCGCGTGTGAGGTCGGCCAAGCTCCGTTGTCGATGCGTCCGAGTGGGCGTTAGAGGCTGAGCGTCTGGGTTCCGGGTTTCTGGCTGCGGTCGGTGTTGGTGGTGAAGATCTTCAACGTGGGAAAGTCGTTGTTGATAGTTCGCCGACGCGGGCTATGCTTGTCGCGGTGTTGCTGGTTCGATTAGCATCACGTGAGCGTAATAGTCGCTTAGGTGTTGGCCCCTCCCACACCGACAGGAAATCGAGGATGCCGCCGACGAGTTCGCCCTCCGTTGGGAGCTGGCGCGAAATCGACCACGGTGGTGGTGCCGCCCCAGATTGCGCCCAGGAGTGGTCCCC